GCTGAATTTAGAAAAGGCAGAAGAACCAGAGATCAAATTGCCAACATCCATTGGATCATCAAAAAACCAAAAGAGTTCCAGAAAAATATCTACATCTGCTTTATTGACTATGCCAAAGCCTTTGATCGTGTGGACCACAACAAACTCTGGAAAGTTCTAAAGAGACAGGAATACCAAGAACCTGACCTGCCTCTTGAGAAATCTGTATGCAGGTCAGGAAGCAACAGTTAGAACTGGACATGGGACAACAGACTGGTTCCAAATAGGGAAAGGAGTACATCAAGGCTGTATACTGTTACCCTGTGTATATGCAGAGTACATCATGTGAAGTGCCAAACTGGATGAATCATAAGCTGGAATCAAGACTGCTAGGAGAAATATCACCAACCTCAGATATGCAGATGATACCACCCTTATGGCAGAAAGTGAAGAGGGACTAAATAGTCTCTTGATGAAGGTGAAAAAGGAAAGTGAAAAAGTTGGCTTAAAACTCAACATTCAGAAAACTAAGATCATGGCATCCAATCCCATCACTTCATGATAAATGGAGAACAATGGAAACAGTGACAGACTTTATTTTCTTGGGTTCCAAAAATCACTGCAAATGGCAACTGCAGTCATGAAATTAAAAGACACTTGTTCCTTGGAAGAAAAACTATGACAAACTTAGACAGTGTATTAAAAAGCAGAGATACCACTTTGCCGACAAATGTCTTATTTAGTCAAAGCTATGGTTTTTCTAGCAGTCATATACAGATGACTCTCAAGTCCAACTCTCAACTTAGACCATAAAGAAGGCGGAGCACTGAAGAATTAATGCTTTCAAACTGTGGTGCTGGAAAAGACTCTTGAGAGTCCCTTGGACAGTAAGGAGTTCAAACCAGTCAGTCCTAAATGAAATCAGTCCTGAATATTCAATGGAAGGACTGAGCTGAAGCTCCTATACTTTGGCCACCTGAGGTGAAGAGCCAACTTATTAGAAAAGACCCCGATGCTGGGAAAGATCAAAGGCAGGAGAAGGGGACGACAGAGGACGAGATGGCTGGATGGCATCACCGACTCAGTAGAGATGAGTTCGGACAAACTCAGATACAGTGAAGGACAGGGAAGTTGGGCATGATGCATTCCATGGGGTCACAAAGAGTCGGACATGACTTAGCAACTGAACAATAACCCTTTTGACATTAATCACTACTCAAGAATACTTATGTCTAATTTTTCTGTCTTGGCTGCTGGTCATAATATGATTTCTCTCAATCCCAGCAGAAACCAACCAAGCTCCTTTCTACTTACCAAAAGGAGAATCAGAACTTGTCTCTGGCTTCAATTCTGAGCATGCAGCAGGTCCATTTGCCCTATTCTTTCTAGCAGAATATTCCAACATTACTATTATAAATATATTTTTTACAATTCTACTCATAGGAGCATTTCACAACCCCCACAAACCAGAAATATACTCAATTTTATTACCTAAATCATCTTCCTAATCATTTTTCCTATAAATTTGAGCATCCTATCCATGATTCCAACTTATACATCTTCTATGAAAAATTTCCTACTAGTAACACTAGCTCTTTTAATATGAAATATTATTAACCATCATTATAACAAGCATCCCACCAAACATAATGTCTGACAAAACAGTTACTTTGATGGAATAAATTATAGGAGTTTAAATCCCCTTATTTCTAATATTATAGGGATTGAACCTACTAAGAATTCAAAACTTTCTGCGCTACCAATTACATCATATTCTATAGTAAGGTCAGCTAAATAAGCCATCAGGCCCACGCCCTGAAAATGTTGATTTATATCCTTCCCATAGTAATAAATCCCCTATTTTTATTATCATTTCACTATCATTTCAGGAACTACAGTTGTTATAAGCTCAAACTGATTAAGAATCTGAAATGACTTTGAAATAAACATATTATTCTAGTTTTAATTAAAAATTCAACCTATGAGCCAAAGAAGCCTCCACTATTTTTTGACACAAGCCATCACATCTGTTTTTACTAATCTAATATTCTAGCCAATGAACAAGTGTAAACATGTTTAATCCAACAACATCCATCATCACAGCAGCCCTTGTCATAAAACTTGGACTTGCCCCATTCTACTGAGTACCTAATTTTATTAACATGACAGAAACTTGTATCGCTATCAAGTTTCTTTTTGATAGAAATACAAAAACTTTTATTTTATATTGAGTTTCATCATTCATTAATCTAAACATGTTACTAAGTAGAGCTATTTTATCAATCATAGTAGGAGGATGAAGAAGTCTCAACCAAACCCAACTACAAAAAATCATAGGCTGCTCATCAACTGTAACATAAATTGAATAAAAGCTATTATCATTTATAATCCAGCTATAATAATCCTATACTTATAAACACTAACTACATTTATATTATTTATATATAATTCATCCACCACAATGCCATCCCTCCCCTAATTTATGAAATAAACACCCTTAATTGCTATATTTATTCTCACTATTACATTATAATTAGGAGGCCTCCTACCACTTTGAGTTTTTACCTGAATGAATGATTACTCAAGAAATAACAAAAAATATTTCACCAATATTAATAGCTATCAGAACACTATTCAATCTATATTTCCATATACAATCTATTCCATATCATCAACCGCATTCCCATCAATAACATGAAAATAAAATGACAATACAAAGATTATGAATTGAATAATGTTTTCACCACCACTAATCATAGTATCAACAGTACTTCTTCCCTTTTCATCATTATCAGCACTGGACTAGGATCTAGACGAACACAGACCAAGAGTCTTCAAAGCCCTAGTCAAGTATTATTGACTTAATTCCTGAAGATAAGGATTGCAAGACTTTTATCCTATACCAACTGAATGCAAATCAAACATTTTTTAAATTTATTTTTAATTGGAGGATAATTACAAAATTGCAATGGTTTCTGCCATATATCAATATGTCCCATCCCTTTTGAACCTTCTTCCCACCTCCTTCCCCAAGCACTTTTATTAAACTAAATTCTTACTAGATTTGGTGGGCTTTGATCCCATTAAAAAAACAAGAGATCCTGTAGAAAAAGCAAGAGAGTCCCAGAAAAGCATCTACTTCTGCTTTATTGACTACACCAAAGCCTTTGACTGTGTGGATCATAGCAAACTGGAAAATTCTTAAAGAGATGGGAATACCAGACCACCTTGCCTGCATCCTGAGAAATCTGTGTGACGGTCAAGAAGCAACAGTTAGAACTGGACATGGAACAACAAACTGGTTTCAAATTGGGAAAGGAGTCAGTCAGGGCTGTATATTGTCACCCTGCTTATTTAACTTACATGCAGAGTACATCATGCAAAATGCCAGGCTGGATGAAGCACAAACTGGAATCAAGATTGCTGGGAGAAATATCAATAACCTCAGATATGCAGATGACACCACCCTTATGGCAGAAAGCAAAGAGAAACTAAAGAGCCTCTTGATGAAGGTGAAAGAGGAGAGTGAAAAAGCTGGCTTAAAACTCAACATTCAGAAAACTAAGATCATGGCGTCTGGTCCCAACACTTCATGGCAAATAGATGGGGAAACAATGGAAATGGTGTCAGACTTTATTTTCTTGGGCTCCAAAATCACTGCAGAGGGTGACTGCAGCCATGAAATTAAAAGATGCTTGCTCATTGGAAGAAAATCTTTGACCAACCTAGACAGCATATTAAAAAGCAGAGACATTTGCCAACAAAGGTCCGTCTAGTCAAAGCTATGGTTTTTCCGTAGTCAAATATGGATGTGAGAGTTGGACTATAAAGAAAGCTGAGTGCCAAAGAATTGATGCTTTTGAACTGTAGTGTTGGAGAAGACTCTAGAGAGTCCCTTGGACTGCAAGGAGATCCAACCAGTCCATCCTGAAGGAGATCAGTCCTGAATAATCATTGGAAGGACTGATGCTGAAGCTGAAATGCCAATCCTTTGGCCACCTGATGCAAAGAGCTGACTCAATGGAAAAGACCCTGAAGCTAGGAAAGATTGAAGGCAGGAGAAGGGGACAACAGAGGATGTAATGGTTGGATGGCATCACCAATTCTATGGACATGAGTTTGAGCAAGCTCTGGGAGTTGGTGATGGACAGGGAGGCCTGGTGTGCTGCAATCCATGTGGTTGCAGAGTCGGACACAACTGAGTGACTAAACTAATGTCATTCACCACAGGGCTTGGCAAAAAGGCCTCAACCTGTCTTTACATTTACAGTCTAATGCTTTCTCAGTCTTTTTTTCTATGTTCATAAACTGCTGATTATTCTCAACAAACCATAATGTCACAGACTGAGCATCTGGTTTGGGGTCTGTTCCAGAGTGGAAGTCCTGCCTTAAGCGTTTTAATCGTGCCAAATCAGGCCTGGAGCTTTACTAGAAGCTGATCATATCTACAATGTAGCTGTACCACCCATGCATTTGTAGTAATTTTTCCTACCTACACCTATTATTAATATAATTGGAAGATCCAGAAACTGAATAGTTCCACTAATAACTGGAGCACATAATAGCATTTCCCCCCCCCCCAAAAAAAGTTTTTACCTTTTCTACCACTATTTCTAGAACAGGCTGACAGGCTCAACAGTGTATCTATGTTTAACAGGCAATCTGGCCTACATGGGAGCTTCTGTTGACCTAATCATTTTTTCCCCTACAGTTAGCAGGTTTATACTCAATTCTAAGTGCTATTAATTTTATTACAATTATTAGCATAAAATCTCCAGCTATATCTCTTTACCAAACACCACTGTTTGATTCATTATAATTCTGGCCATACTATTATTGTCACTCCCAGTTCGAGCAGCCAGAATCACTTTGTTAATAACCACAGTCTATTAATTTTTCTTTAATCCTGAAGGTAGAGGTGATTCAATTTTATATCAACATTTATTCTGATTCTTTGGTCACCCAGATTTTAACATCCTTCATTTACCTGGCTTTGGGGTAATTTCACATATTATCACATATTATTCAGGAAAACAAGAACCTCTGGAGTACACAGTAATAGTCTGAAGAGTTATGTCTTCCCAGGCTTTCACATATGAGCTCAACATGTGTTCACAATAGAAGCAGATGCTCATATGAGAATGTATTACATCAGCTACTCTAATTACTGCTGTCCCCACAGGATTTGAAGTATTTAGTTGACTAGCAAACTTCCATGGAGGTGATATTAAATAACCATCAGCCACATTATGGACCTTAAGCTTTATTTTCTTATTTTCAATAGAAGGTTTAACTGGAATTGTCCTAGCTAATTCATCCTTAGTGCTTTTCACGATACATACTATATAGCAAGACATTTTCACTATGTCTTAACAACAGGAGCAGTATTCACCATTTTAAGAGGCTTGATCATTGATTTTCATTATTTTCAGACTACAGACTCAACCTAAGCAAAGTTTCATTTTACAATTCAGTTTGTAAGCATTAATATAAATCTCTGTCTACAACATTCTTGGCCTTTCAGGAATACGACATTACTCTTGCTGATATAGGTGTATACACAACACAAAACATCCCCTTATCCATGGGTTCATCATTAACAGAATACCGGTGATTTTTATAATTTGTCAAGACTTTGCACCTAAACAAGAATTTAGATGCAGTAGTGGAATTAACAAATACCTTGAACATCTGTTTCCCACCATAACATATTTGAATAACTTACATAAATTTAAGAAGGAAGGAATCAAACCTTCTCCAACTGATCTCAAGCCAACTTCATAATCACTATGTCTTCTCAACAAGTGAGATATTAGTAAAAACGACTTAACTTTGTCAAAGTTAAATTACAGGTTCAAACCTTTTATATCTCTATGCCATATCCACTCCAGCTAGGCTTGCAAGACACAACACTGCCTTTTATAGAAGAACTTCTGTATTTTCATGATTATATAGTTATAAGTGCTTTCCCAATTAGTTCTATGGCTCTTTACATCATTTCATTAATTCTAACCATTAAACTAACACACACAAGTACAATAGATGTACAAGAGGTAGAAACAGTGCGAACTATTCTAGCTGCTATCATTGTAATTTTAATTGCTCTACCATGGTTACAAACTCTTTACATAATAGATGAATTAACAGTCCTTCCCTAGCTGTAAAAACTATAGGTGATCAATGATAGTGAAGCTTTGAACACACAGACTATGAAGTTGTAAAGTTTGATTCCTGTATAATTCCTACAATGGATCTAAAGTGAGAACTACAACCACTACAGATCAATAATGGAGCAGTCTCACCTTTGAAAACAACAGTCTGAATGCTAATTTCACCCAAAGACATTCTACACCCATGAGCTATTCCCTCGTAGGTCTAAAGACAGATGCTATTCCAGGGCACCTTAAACAATGCTAATATTTACAGGCTTGGACAACATTCAGAAATTTAGGGGTCAAGTCACAGCCTCATAGCTATTGACTTCAAATTAGTTCCACTAAAACATTTTAAAAAGGATCAGCATCAAATTATAAAATCATTAAGAAGCTAAATAGTATAAACTTTTTAAGAGAATTTCAACCTTTCTCTAAGGATAAGACACAACTAGATACATTAACATGATTCATCACTATTATAGTACTATTTACTATATTTCTATTAAAAACCTCAAAACATTCTTATCTTTTAACTCAGAACTGAAATTAAAACATCAAACTATACCCCTTGAGGAACAAAATGAACAAGGATTTATCCACCTCTTTTACTACCCAAACAATTACAGAATTACTATTGTTTCAATAGTTTCTCAAACCCCACCAAGTTATTAGTAACTGTGTCATTTCTATCCAACGATGATGAATTCAACACACACCAAAACAAATAATGGCCATCTGAAGCAGCTCGGCTTTTGCCATGGGCAGCTCTGCCCCTGGGGAGAAAGTGCCAGGACCCTTCCAGTGAGGGCTGCTCTCAGTGGGCAGGGGCTGAGAGTCACTGCGTGCCGCTCCTCAGGGATGTCTGACTCTCTGCGACCCCAGGGACTGCAGCCCGCCAGGCTCCTCTGTCCACGGGAGTTCCCAGCCAAGAATACTGGAGTGGGTTGCCATTTCCTCCTCCAGGGGAGCTGGAGGGATTGAACCTGCGTCTCCTGCACTGCGGGCAGATTCTTCACCAGCTGAGGCACTCAGGCAAGCCTCCTCGCTATATGATAAGCATGCAAGTAAAGGCAATCCCTAACACTCACATCACTTATTGGCTCAAAAAACCTGCTAGGCCTTCTATCACATACATTTACTCCTGCTACACAGTGCTCAATAAATCTAGGAATTGCCATTCTCTTGTGAGCAGAAACTATAATTACTGGATTCCCCCCACCCCCAGAAAAGGAAGATTTTGTTTCCTACTCCAAGGGACAACCATTCCACTTATTCCTATATTACTAATAATCAAAACCATTAGGCTATTTATTCAGCCAACAGCCTTAGCGATATGACTTAACAGGCAGCACTACTGCTGGCCACCTATTAATTTTTTTAATTGGAGGAGCAACCTTAGCCTTATTAAGTGTTAGCCCTACTATGACTTCTATCATATTTATTATTTTGATCTTGATGTTATTTACTAGTCTTGAATTCCCAACAGCTTTAACTCAAGCTTATGTCCTTAACAATTAGGAAGCTTTTATTTGCATGATAACACTTAATGACACAGACTCATGCATATCATATAGGAAATCCCAGTTCCAGCAACTTCTAGAGGCCCTGCACTTATAGGAACCCTCACTTGGAAGGGTACTGGTGCTTTTCCCCCACTGACAGAGCTGTCTTGATGGCAAAAGTTGAGTTGCTTCCTGCCACCACCCCGCTTTTCAATGGACTTGACCGCATTCCCAGCACCCGTCTTCCCCCCTGCACCAGTCAAGCCCTCTCTTTTCTCGGGACTCTATCTTCCTGGACAAGGTTTCCTTCACTGCTTCTTACTCACCTCTGGTTGCCTCCTCCTTCATTCATCTTCCCGCTTCTAAGGGCTCATCCTGAAATCCGTCTTCATCAAATGGGAGATCTCTGGATTGTTCCCCTTTCATTTTGACTCTGTCATGAGCCAGCTGTGTGATCTTAGGCAAACATTGCTTTCTCAGGGCCCACCTTCTCTGTGTGCAGGAAGAAGGGGCCAGTCAGATGGGAACAGGCTAATGTTCCGAGGGAGTCCAGCCCAAGATCTCTTCCACACACCGGGCCTTCCTGGTTGTCCACGCTCAAGACTGAGCTCGAGTAAAGGCTTTGGGGCTTTACTCTTGAAGTAAAAGAGTAACTCTCTACTCTTTGCAGAAGAAAGATCTCCACCAGGGCCATCCTGCCTCTCCGCCTTGCGAGGCAGCAGCAGAGTCGGGACTGGGATTGCCTCCAGGGCCACTGCTCCTTTCTGCTCATGGCCCACATGACAGGTGCCCAGTGCTTCATTCCTGAAACGAGGTCAAACTGTCCCTGGACGTGACTGAGGACCAAGCCTGGACCTTCCTGGTCCACCTTTCAAAGTCTTGGACCAGCAACGGTTCCTCTGCTGGGCAGGCTCCTGCCGCTGCTCCCATGCCAGCAAGCATTCCTCTCTTCCACAACCTCAGGACAGAGACCAACGAGGAGACGGATCATCTCACCCCACTTTACAGATGAGAAAACTGAGGTACAGAAAAATTAAACGAATTCTCCGGCTCCTGCTCAGAGCCAGGATGAGGCGTGGGTCTTCCAGGTCCCATCCACGTTCCTTTAATTGGCTCCAGAGAGAAGCAAGTTTCGCAAGTCTGGTTGATGTTCCCCAGCTGGCGTCTCACCTAAGGGTTTTCACATGGGAAAATACAATGGCTCCTAACTTGAGAATGCCAGAAAGATCTAAGCAGATCCAAGTGCAGCTGAGGAGAGGTCCTGCGGGATTAGCATCCACCAGCCAGGGTGGGGAGGTAGCGTCTGAAATGAAGTTCACCTGTTTGTATAAACGACAAAGAGATGACTCCTGTAGGGCACGGTCCGTGTGTGCTCCTCCTGGCTGAGCAGGAGTTTCAGCATCCCTGAGCTCCAACTCCCCCGACCTCAAACCGTGGAGAGCAGCCTCCCCATGTCTGAGAGACGTCCTCAGGGGATGGCACCTGGAGCTGTCGTGAGACTCCACCCCCATCTTCAAGTCCCTCCCAGGCAAGGGCATCCCCTGCCTCCCTCAGGGACGCCTTCTTTGGCCTACTAAGTGCGCAGGAGAGAGATGAGATGACAGGCAGCTTCCTGTCAGCCTAGCTGCCCCTTTCCTCCGTTCTTTCCTATGTGTCTGCTTCCCAAAGGGGTGGAGAAAGACATTCGAGGCTTGTAGGTCTGGTCTTCAAAGAACTCAAGTCAGGTGGAGGTGGTGGGCGGGCAGGATTCTATACTATAGCGTGGCATTTGTTATTTCACTTTATGTAGTTGCATTATGTCATTTGTAAACCAGTTTGAATCTTTGTTGATCTATATAATATGAATAAATCAATTTAAAGAGAGAGAGAGAAAGTGTGTGTGTGCGTGTGTGCGTGTGTGCGTGTGTGTGTTTGTGTGTGCGTGTGTGCGCGCGCGTGTGTGTGCGCGTGTGTGTGTGCGTGTGCGTGTTTGTGTGTGAGTGTGTGTGTGTGCGTGTGCGCGTGTGTGTGTGTGTGTGCGTGTGTGGCAGGAGTTTGATTCCTCAGCACTTCTCTGCTGGGCGTCAGCAACATTTCGTCACTGGTTTTTCTGATGCTCCATCCGCTTTCAATCTGTTTTACAAGCTATGACCTGCTAAGGCTCTGTTTATAAACTTTCAATGGTTCTCCTTTGCCTATATGTATGTGCTCAGTCATGTTCGACTCTTTGTGACCCCAGGGACTATACAGTCCGCCAGACTTCTCTGTCCATGGGATTTCCCAGGCAAGGATACTGGAGTGGGTGCCGTGTCCTTCTCCAGGGGCTCTTCCCCACCCAGGGGTCAAACCCACGTCTCCTGCATTGGCAAGCGGATTCTTCACCACTGCACCACCTGGGAAGCCCCCTCCTGTGCCTACAGAACTCTGAACACATTCCATCCGGCAGGGAAGGATTTCTGACTTTTCCCAAGTAAATTTGTCTCACATTTCCCCTGACCTCGTGCAGTGCTTTAGCTTAACCTAGTCTGGCTCATTAACTCCAAAGCACTTTTCCAACCCCTGACCTTCGTCTATCACCGTCTCTCACTCCACATGGGATGCCTGCCTCTCTCCGTCTCCTCCATCACCAATGTTCAAAACCCTCCCCAGCCCAGGGGATGGCTGCTTTACAACAAATGCTGCCCTCTTCTCCCCCTTCAAAATTGTCCCTAGACAGTGATG